ACCTCTGCCGCCGGCGGAGGTTACATTTGGAGGCGCACCTCCCGGGCACACCAGAATTCTAACCCGCACCGTCGGCGCGGGTCATACGGGCGTCCCCTGGGACAGGTGCATTAGCCACCACTGGTGGCTAATGCGAGCGTCTCCAGGGACGGGTGCATTAGCCACCGCTGGTGGCCAATGCGGGCGTCCCCGGGGACGGGTGCATTAGCCACCACTGGTGGCCGATGCGGGCGTCCCCAGGGACAGGTGCATTAGCCACCACTGGTGGCTAATGCGGGCGTCCCCAGGGACGGGAGAATGCGAGCGTCCTCAGGGAGGGTCGGAGAGTGTCGTGCTGTTTAGCGTCCAGAAAAGTCAAATGGCGCACATGTGCGCCATTTGGATTTTTCGGAGCCCAAGCAGCACGTCACTCTGCTATTTCGCACTCGCTGCTACCAGCAGTGACTCCGGTCCGTCGGGTTGGTTTGAAGGAAACGCAAACATGGCAGCATGTAACGCTGTTTAGCTGTATATAGAAGAAGAAAGGCGATTACCTAAGACGGACTTTAGCACAGGAGCCGGCCGAAGGGCTCACATTTAGCGTACCGCATCACGTAGCACGAGACATGCATGCGCACGTCCGTTACTAGATTTTCGCGCCCTGTCGTGTCGTGCATCGGCGTTATCGGAAGTTTGTTGTTTCCCTGCCGGAAGTAGATTAAACTCTGCCGCGGCTGTTCCGCTACTAAGGTTGTGACAGAGTCGAAAGAGGGAACGAAAACCCGCGTTGAGTGGACAGACAAGCAAAACGAACATCACATACCACACAGCAGGACAACCTGCCAAAGACTACTCGGGTTAGTATCGAACGCGCTAAGTTTTACCGTACATACCATTACCTGCGCACTAGGCAGCCAGCACTAAGCGCGATCCGACTTTTAAAGCGAATGATGGCTGAGTGTTCTTTCCCGATGTTCAAAAAGTGCAACGTGGCCTCTTCATGCAACAGAAATATTAATGAATCCTGCGTAAAAGACCTACTCTGTGTTTTGTCGTAGATGTTGGTATACCCACTTTCTCGTGAGCGGCAATGCCGTTTCTTTGATATTACGATAAGATATTGCTTCTGCTCGTCTTTGAAGATTTCTGCTGATGTTATAAACCCCAAAACAGTATGTTGGTCCTAGTCTTTACCCAAGAATACCAAGCTTATGCGGACTTTCTTTTTTATATGTCCCTGCCAACGTGGCCCCTGGCGCACATACAACCAGCACCCTTCTTCATCATTTCGCAAAACAAATCACTCACACTTTAGGACAGGGCGAGGCGTGTCGAAATAGAGATGAGATGTTGCAGCGTGTAGTCAGAACACTTCAGTATAGGTCAATCATTGAGACCTAATTCGATGAAAGATGCGACACCGGTTTGGCATACTCTCTCTCCAGAACGTACCGTCGTGCCGATGCAAGGTCTGATCTTCCCGTAGTTCCGGAGGAGTTTCTAAGCACGCGGTCATATCAAATGCAAATATGGCTGGGTCTGGAAAAATGCATAAGTTTGTCATGCATATTCTGCAGCAGGTAGCTGGTCTGGAATGCAAATCGGACAACACAGATTTTACGAACGCTTCATGATGCCGACCCCGCATAAAAACTTCGCCCTTCACGTAGCTAAAATTGAGCTGCTTCTAGTACTCCCGCAACATAGATTTTTGGCTGCTCCAGAATCAGCATGACAAGTTGGAAGCCTTCCAGACCCACACGTGTTTGCATTGGATAAGTCCGAGGCAATACTCCATCATTTCCGTGCGCGGCCTGCTAATCCGTCGTCACCAACCAAGAGATGCCGTCCTCACCAACAAGAAATCAGAATGTCAACGACCTGGATCGAGGGAATCCGTTCGTGAAAAGAACTAATCCAGGAAACGAGCAGAAAGGCGAACACAACGACGGCAGGTAAAACTCTTGACAGTGATAGATTTTCATTCAAACTTATACTGCGCAAATGTCGAAGACTTTTGGTGTCCAAGGATGCAACAGGAACGTCGAATGCCCAAACTCCAACCGCAGATTGCCAAAAAACCCGCTCGGATGGGGAACACCACCGCCAGCATTGAACCCATCTGGGGACAACCAACCAGGAGCTGCTGTGGTCCTGACAACAAATGCCACGTCCTCTTCCATCAGCAGAATCAGGCCACCGACACCCCGAGCCGCTCTGCAGAGATTATTCAACTGCCAACACCTTTTCAGCCCCACTTTCGTGCAAATTATTGAGCTTGTAAAAAAACGACACTTTATTTCAGCGTTACTTTGTCATGACTTTTATACATAGTGAAGTTCGGATTGGAAAGGTGTTCGTTGGTATAAGACGGTGCCTCCGCGGGGCGAGGAGCCGTGCCTGCCGGCGGCGCTACGCCAAGGCCCAGGGGTTCAACGTATCGAAATATTTCTAAGTGACATTTCTTTTCTGCTACATCATGCACTGCATAAGTATTCGCCGCATGAATCATGAATGAAGATATTTACGTATGTTTTCATGAAGATCCCCATGACTACACAATGCTTCAATAACTACCACAGCCTTCCGTCACCGTCATTGGCCGATCCACCGCGACGCAACGTTTCCATTCCAAGGGCAGCGGGTTCCTCTGCAGCGGGTATGAAAATCAAATTACTCATGGCCGTCGGCTGCACGAGACAGGAATTTTCGACAGTTGTGTCATGCGAAAACTGTTACTAATCAGCGAGGACACCAAAAACTATATGTGTGGCGAAAGGAAATGCATACGGGCAAGTTTGGTTTTCATACGCCGCTCCTCTTCGAATCCGGTAATGGGAGGAAACGCCGTGTCTACGCAGTCTCTAATCCCAGCTCCCGGAACGAGGACGCCGATTATCCCACTCCAAAATCCCTCCAGGCCCCGTGCTGAGCCTGAGCCAGTCTGCCTTGCATGAAGCATGCATGAGTTAGATGTAAAAGTGAGAATGCGTCTCGACAGAAATTGGTTTGTAAAACACGAAAAAGCAAGTTTGTGTTGCGGGTTCGTGTTCAGCATGACAAATGTGCAGATGCGGGCTCGGGGTGGAGGCAATCTTCAGTGGCATGATAAGAACTGCTACCTCCGCTTGGGGGGCACCGCAAAACCCGTTTGCGAACTCTACTAGTGCATCTTCCAGTTCTTCCAGTTCCTCCAGTTCCTCTAGTTCCTCCAGTTCCTCCGCTGCAGCTGGAACTCTGTCGAACTTGCGCACTATGCTATTGAAAAATGCTTGCATAGCGTATACTAGATTTGCCATGTAGTCATGTACAGTGCTCTCATGCTGTGACGAATGATAGCAAAGAAAGATAAATCCTCGTACTGTGCAATCATTTTTTCCTATGACCCGACACGGATCGTCGCTGCTCTCCGGGCCCAATTACCTGAGACAAACTGCATCTTCCGCGGCCAAGCACACAAGAGCCGTCGGAAGTACGGACGAACCGGCAGTACTAGCAGGTGAACTACAACAAGATGTCAGCATGCTAGATCCCATGCTGGTGGACGAAGAGCAGGGTGTCCCAGTGGGAGGTGTACAGCAGGTATGGAAACCGTTTTACACTGCGCAATGATGATGTAATCGATGAGTAGATGAGGCTGGATGGAGATCAACTAAAATTTTTCCACATAAACCAAACTTTTTGAAAAAATATCAGGTCAACGACGCTGCAGCGGCCCCGATGCAGGCCGACACTGCAATCGCCTTTGTCACGGAGGAGGATAGCGGAGGCTCGAAAAGCAGCAGTCCGAAACTGAGGCGGACTTTGCAGGCTGCACGAGATCAGCGAAGAGCCGAGGCATTGTCGGGCACGTAATTTCTTGTTCATTTTCGCACCTATATCAAGAAAGGCTCTGGTGATTTCAAGCGAAAAAGAGCATAAAGCCAAACGGCATATGAGAAGCATACCGCATGATCCCGTTGATATGCTGTCGCGGTTCGGATTTCCGGTCTGACACATCAATCCAAAATACGTATAACAGGCCCGTCGGTTTGCCACAGCAGGAAGCGCCTCCGGCTCGAGGGATATCAAAACAGCCCCGCACAGTCGCAATGAATGCACGAGAAGGCTGGGAGAATGTAGTATATTTCTTGGTGTTGCATGTTGGAGGAGGTAGTGCTGTTGCGACAACAACTTTGCATCAGGACATTAGAGCAGGAACATTTTTGTTGCAAAGAAGAGTTTTGTCGTGCAAAAATCTATTTGATTGCCTCGGCTTCGATTGCGGCGGCCGTCTTTCGTTGCATACCCGCTGGAACCACGACCCGCAGACTCCAGTGAAGGAACCTCCCTCCTGCTCTCGTCCTCGTCGGACGAGGACAACAACAGCTCGTCCGCTATCCAAAGAAAGATGATTCGGTCCACCTACTGTAACAAAAAAACATTTGTCACTTCGGCAGTGTCACTGTTGCTGCAGCGCATGACATGATCGAAATGAATGCGCAGCATTTTTATTTGTACGTGCTAGAAGAGAGCGCAGAAGGGTTTTGTGTTGCATGTGGACCAACAATTTTTCCCTCGTGATACCGCCAGTCGAAAGTGCGAACCCCCCAGTTTCCGGTGGACAGGTCGGTGCGGCACCAAATAACGACGCGCGGGTAAAAATATATTTTGCACGCATGCTGGCAAAGCCGGGACTTAATGAAGACGAAGATGAACCTATTTCTAATGTTTACGTAATAAACCTCATCATCTTCCCAATGTAATGCTTACAACGAAACACTCTTTCATCCTGTTGTTCACGACGAGCACAATAATACCACAGGTCGGAGTCGAGGTCCCACTCTACACGGCGGAAGAACTGTTCTCCAGATTGTCCCCCATACCAACTGCAAATATTTGCGAGTCTGTCAAGTTGTCATTCTGCTTTACGGAAGATACCATACACGGCGACCGATGCTCAACAAGATATGGTGACGCATTGAAAATCCTACGTGTTATTGCCTCCTCCGCATGATGAATCACAGGTGTGTATGACGGAGCAATCGTAGCTTGTTGGAAAGTAGTACATCATAAAACTTACAGCGCATTGCAAATGATCATGCAGCATTTTCCTAGCCCTCGAAATATTTGCAATGCATATGCCGAGGAGCGGGGCCACTACGACGACTGGCAGACGAAGCTCGACGAGCTGGAGATATCATCACAGAAAGTAGCACCTTCACGTACTCGAAAAGACTTTGAAAGGCATGCTTTGTACGCACGAGTCGAATTGTCATGTTGTAGGAGACACGAGGCATACCTACCAGAGCCCACTTTGCAACGAGTAAGCACATGACAAACACGCCTGTTGCGTGTCACGGAGCAACAGAAATCATGTGCGCAAGCAGATGCACTGTGCTAGCATTGCCGTACCACTGCAAGATGGTGAACTATCTTGGCCGAATATCTAGCACTATAAAGTCGCGTTCGAGAACGGCCGCGCCCGACTTTTTCCAACCATAGGACAAGATCAAGGAAGAAATCACGACAACCGCTGCCAAAGCAGAACACGTAGTCAAGCTGGCTGATGACGATGCAAAAGAATCCACGAGGGAACTGGCCAACGGAGAACGGTCCTGGACCAAGGACAAAGAGCTCCGGGTGCGCCGCAAAGACGAAAAGATCGAACTATGCCCAACAACGAGGGGACAGGCTACTATCGCGGTCGGGGTTAGTAGGTCTTCTACATTTGAAATGTTGCAGTCATGTGTACCAGGAAAAGCGACTCAAGCGATGGCATATTATTAAGGAGGCATAGTTATCTAATTTGCATGTATAGAAACATGGCTGTGAATTCCAGATGAAGAAACGAAGACCACGATAGCTGATGGCTCTTTCTCCAGTCCATACATGGAGCAGAAGCTAAAGGCAGTCACGCCGAGACACTCAAACAGGCCGACAGTCAAAACCCCTCGGGGGTCCTATACGCCCAAAGCTGGCCAAACTGCGGAAAGATATCATGCGGAAAAAAATGCAGTTCCTGAGGTATGAATCCATGTGTGTCATCGATCATGCAGAACAAGAAAAATATGCTTTGCAAAGGAGGACGACGCCTTGTTTCGCAGATCACGTCCGCAGCACTGCAGTGTGTAATGAGAGATCCAGAAAGCCATATCCCAAAAAACAGCCGCCCCACCGCGGCACTGCTACTTCTTTCCGTGTGATAAATTAAAAGCAAAGGCCGAAGAGGCACGACGCAGAGCCAACCTGACGCCGCTGCAACTGGGCCAGGAGGATCGATATCAGTTTGCAGAATGTACCCGCTCCATATGTGGAAGAGTCTATTCAGTGACAGTCCTGCTGCGAGGCATGATGTACTTGTGAGGAATATAGCATGGAATGCACTTTTGTGTCCCCACCACCACAAGGAAAATGATGCGAATGGTTTGCCAAAGCGCTCGTCGGGGAGTGTCACTGGCAAGACATTCTTGCGTGAGGAGATAACAGCGGGGCAGCTTTCTCCTGGATAGTTAGGACAAGCAAATCAAAAAAATGGAACGAACCCGTAACAACATACGCGAGGAATACCCACCGGAATTTCTAACAGAACTCCGGGAGAAGAACGTCAAGCTGCAGCAAGCCCTGGAGGATGCAAAAGCGAAGCTCGCCAAGGCGAAAGAAGAGATCACAAAACTCCAGCAGAAACTGCGGGAAAAGGAAGCGGAGATAGAGAATCTACGTAGCAGACTCGGCAAATTGCAGCACGCCGTGCAAAAGTATGTTACTGATTTTTGATAACACAGCGCCAAAGATATGTTCGGCCATGGTGATGATCTGGCACAGAAAGAACACTGCAGAACTTTGGCTGTGCAACATGCTAGGTTGTGTAACTTATGCGTCTCTAAGTACAAAGAATAAGAAACTCAAAGCAGCGAGCAACAGCACTATTATCTCCAAAAATCCTACTATCTCTCCAGGCACTTCCAAATGAACCCGCGGTCTAGGCAGCAGTCGAAAGATATCAGTGAGGACTTGTACCGCAAGTTAAAATGGCCCCACCTCCTCGAACAGAAGCGTAGTGCTTTCCGCTAACTTCTGTTTATGACAGCATTCAGTTAGTAAAAAATCCATGACTTACTTCTTACTTATAGCAGGTTTGAGTGTGGCTGCATTGCCCGAGAACGTGCATGCATTCGAGGTCTGGAAACAAGAACTAGGCATGTATTCGAGGTGTGGGCCATTTTGCGGGACGATAACTACGAGAAGAAGGAACGGGACATCGACACCGCGATGAAGAACAAAATCAACTCTGCGATCAAGCTCATATTTTCTGCCTGCTTCGAAGGTGGAGAGGACCACAAGCTGAACCACAAGGCCTACAAAGAGGCGAAACGCACGTTCCGGCGGGCGCGGGTAATACCTCTTGCAAAAGTATCGTAGACTACTTGTACAAATTGCAACTCTGCATCGATGAATGCCTTTTCTTACTGTTTCCAGCGCTCTAAATTTCGCTACTTTCTGCGCCCAAATTTTTTATCGGGCAATTTGTACACCTACTGCGACCCTTTTGTAATGCATACGAAGAGGCGCTGTTGGAAAAGGTCGAGGATTCGAAGCGCAGGAAGATAGGGTGACCGCATCGGTGGTGAATGTGCTGACAACTCTATTTGTAGTTGTGTGAGTAGTCATTTGCGTTTTCGAAGAAAACCGTCACATGAATTTACAAATCGGCATCTCTTTTGCTACCTATTGTCTAGTAGAAGAACTGACACTGCAGTTTGACATAATATCAGGAAGGGAACTGCAATACAATTTTCAAGAAAACAAAATTTTGGCTCGAGAGCCGACATCTATTCAGCAGCGCTAGCTTCAGATGAAAAAAATCACATTTAATTCTCCTAACTGTTTCAGAAAATTTTTTTTCCGGAAAGTGATGCAGGCACGAGGAACAAATCCTGGTTTGTACAAGCAGTAGTGTCGCCACTTGCGTACCTCGTTACAAAGTTACAGGCAAACAAATCAGCATAAGAAACTAAGACGTGAATGGTTCCCGACGCCGTCCTGACAGGACGGTTGTCGCTTCGCGATTACCAACCAGAAGTGCAACACCTCGTGCGCATACGGATTGGTGTAAAAAGACAATGACAAGAACCACCAACTATTGTAGCTGAAAACCCCATTGTACCAGCATTATGTAACGACTTCTATCCAAGAAATTATTAGCAATCATTTGTTTTTGTACAGGCGGCCGCTGAGGTTGCACACCCAGAAGATGCGCCACTGCCACAGTAAAGAGCCATGCAACAAAAAATAAAAGATCTACTAAGATATAATACCCCACGGATTGGTTGTATTGTGCATAGGTATACCTTCTCAGAGTACTACAAATATATTCGAAGCTGTTTAATAGGAATAACTAGAACTGCGGGACACTCGAGGAGATTCATCGCGAACTCCGATAAATTTTGCGACTCAATCAAGACAACTTAGCTTGAACGTCATCACAAACCTTTTCGAGAACGTAAGAAGGCGAAGATACCAGCAACAAAAATTGAAAACCAACCAACACCGTTTCAAATGGCAGTAAAACGCGTATTTTTCAATGCAGGATTCCAGGCACCAACGACCCTCGATGATGCGATACAACATAGGTTTCTGACATTAGAAGTTTCGGTTTGGGAAACAAAGCACGATCGCTTACAAAACGAAAATATTCAAAAAATAACCCTGTGGACAGCACTTTAAGTTTAGATGGCGAGTACAAACTGGGTGGAATTTGTGCAAGGGACGAGACCGTTATAGTGCCATGTATCAAATTGAGATATTGTTGTCCCCACCTGGAAACTTTTTTGCAAAATGAAAATGTAAATGTGCAATATGGATGAACAAAAATCAGTGTCTCCCGTGTGGAACAATGTCCTGGCGGTTTCGATTGCCTGGCTCGAAAGCACGGTGACTTCGTATACTTACGTACACTGAGTACTTGTTCCTTAACCAACGAAAAAAGTCGGTCTCATTTACATGGAATCGCCCGCATGTCAACGTGAACATTCTGCTATTTTTACGAGTATAGAGGGGATGTTGGGCATCGGTTATGGCCGCACTTGGAAGCTCTGAACTACGACTAGTACAAACTGGTCAAACTACATTCACAATGAAATCGAATAAGAAAATCTGTATTGCGGATTTGGAATATCTGAGAAAGTAGCAATTTCGGTTTTGTTCGGTCCGTATCAATGGTCAAAATTCTTGCGTGGACCATCCCCCTCTCCATTTTTTTGAAATCGTCACATCTGGGTGGAATGTAAGTATCTAGTTGACGGAAAAAAGCACAAAGCGCTGATCGTTGTACGACTTAATACCGTTTTGCTATTCACACGCACCAACAGCCACGGAGCCCTTGCACTGCTGTACCGAAAAAGATGGACGTTGTGGGACCTAGACTCTCTTCGTCGTCCTTGCGGGGCTCATTCGTGGTTGCCTGCTGATAGCGCCCCCGCCACCTCCAGTGGCTGCGATATGGCCTCCCGGATCGGATGAAGTGTCTGTGAAGAGGTTTTGAGGCACCGTGTGCGAAAGATACGAAGTGTTTTATGATCGAAGAGGAGTACCTCTGCGGCAGGCCACACGGAGCGGAAGTACCTCAACCGCTGCCCAAGCGCCTCCAGCAGCATGAAGACCATGTAGAACTACCCGTAGCACACGATAGTTTCGAGCCACCTGAGGTGAACAAAAACCACGCGCGGCGCCGCTGTGTGACGAAATGCAGGGCGAGCGTGGACGGCGGACGTGGGCGGATGTCCAAGGACGGCTACCTTACCGCGCGGGCCACTGAAATGCGACCTAGACCTTTCCTGCTGTGATGGAAGAAGGGAAAATTTTGTCATACCAGTCGAACTCCTTTCACTGGTCTTGCGGCACTGTGCCCTTGCGTATTAGAATGCACTCACGGTTGCGTTGATGCTGGTAGCAAATTGCTGTACCAACCTTGACACCGAAATATGAGTATCAGACGCCGCCGCGGCAACGCAGGAAGGCAAGAGGAAACATGAGAAAAACAGAACGTGCGCTCTTCGTGCCCGTTTGTTTCGAAAGAAGATTTTATCGATTCTCGCTTTACGTTCGCCTCGATCCTCGCCTTCTTTTGGTCGCGTGACCAGGAATCAAAATCGAATCGCACATGGAAGTAGATGTTCGAAAGAAATTACATCTTTCAGCACTGTAACTTTTGTTGCGATCTTTCAAGAAAGAGAGCGAGTGGTCGAGCGAGTGCGATTAGACATGAATTTTGTTGTTGTGCGTTCTTCTACGAGTGTAGATGATAAAGCGTGAAGGACCGAGTAGTCTTGTAGAAGTGTGTGAGAAGAATTATATGTGTTTCACGTCAAACAACGCATCATTTGCTTTCCGTTCCGAGCCATTAAGACCATTTACAATCTACCATTTACGCCTCTCTCCATCAGAAGCACTACTCAGTTTAGTTAGTTACCCCACCCCCCTCTACTGCCTGAGTATCAGCCCTGAATAGAAACCGACTATCGCACCGGCTACGTAGTACAGCAGATCTGCTAGTGTGCTTTTTTCGCTCGGAAAAAAAAATGGTTTTGTATTGCTGTTGAACAATTTTCTACTGCGCTTCCTGTAGTTTCGTTCAGAGAATAATACTAGCTGTGGTGTCCTCGTTAGAAACTGTTCGAACCTGCGTCTAATACTCTTGCACTATGGTGTCGTCCCCTCCGCGGCGCGCGGGCCGCATCGATGCAGCGGACCGCATCGATGCAGCGGAAAAGCGTACATCCGGCGTGAAACTCCCTGGGATCAATTCGGCAGTACCGTTTGCACCTCCACAGTCGGCCCAACACCAGCGTCCACCAACTTTGTATCCGTTGGCAGTTTGTATTCGATGCCGCCCCCCAATGTCCACAACAGTCGTTGGTGAGTTGACGCAGATTTCTAACCAATGCGCCAGAAACAGAATTTGGAATGTTGAAAGTAAATCTTGTCGTGGTACTTCGCGGTGGTCATTCTTCTTGCGAGAAAGTACTGCACTCAACGGATTCTGGGGAGGGGGTATTTTCTCTGCCATAAGAAAAGTCACTTTCTCATTTCGGGACCGAAGAACCCAGTGCAGATGGAGAACCCGAGTGCCAGATACGGCTTCGACACGTATGGGGGTCAAACACCGACAACGGAGGAGCAAGCTTGGATGGAGTCGCAAGTACTTATGCATTGACATTTCTTTATACACCTTGTTCTCTTTCGGTTTTTATTCTTATTGTTTATGCATGTGCAAATACAAATACAAAATTGCTTAACGAGTTGTGCTGTAGTCAAACATTCATGTCAACATTTCCAGGTAGCAATTTCTAATTTCCAATTCCATCCAATACTCCAGATCCAACAAGAACGGCGGGAACGAGCAACAGCGAATATCCTGTCGAAAAACGTACCCACCCCCGAGTTTTCTATGCAGATGTGAATTGTCGCCAGCATGTGTGATGCAACTTCAGAACTTCATCGGGAAAGGCATTTTTTACAGTGTTTTTAAAAAATTTGAAGTAATGATCACTCGACCTACGACACAAAGCTACATTGTATATGCGGCGGCACTCGCTAGTACTCAGTCCTGCAGTACATTTCCAAACTTGCCATTCAGAGTTCGCAAAGTTTTGATTCCCTTCTAGAAGATTTCCCATTTGGTTGAACATGGAGCGGGTACGTTTTCATACATGATAACCCGCGGAGCGTCTTCCTCCTCGTCCTCAGCTAATACCCTGCACCCGAATGTTCTCCAATCGTCTTCGCCGCTGGTCAGGGATTCGGTTCCGCTCTATCGCAAGAAAATGAATCTGTCTCAACTTCAAAAGGCCTTTGCAGTGGATTCAGCAATACAAACTTGCGAACCAAGGAACAAAAAATCTTCTCTGACGCTTGTTCAAACGGCTACGGCAAGCGAACGCATATATGAAAGACGACACCACTCTCTTGCATGTGGTCGAGCATGATAAATAAGTGTCTTAAGTAGGACGTTGCACATAATACAAGTTGAGACTGAGAGAGTTTTTTCTCGCGATACCAATTTGCCGTTCAACAACAGCAATCACGATACGTCGATGCACTCCAATTTGCTGTTCAACAACAGAAACAACGCGATAACTTCCCACCAAAGTCACCTACAACACAGGCCACCTACGACGCCGGCGTTTGGGGAGCGCAGGAACTCACCAGCCATACAGAACGCACAAGCACCCAGATATCAAATGCAAATACGTCTGGGTCTGGAAGAATGCGCGCATTTGTCATGCATGTCGTGAATGACCGCACAGATGGACTACAATACAGACAGAGCACTACTGATTTTGAGCGGTCTTCGTGAATCCTGTCGCGCATCAGAAATTCGCTATATTGTCCTACTAAGAGGTTGGCCACTTTGGGCCGTTGTGCAACACAGATTTTTGCACGATCCCAACTCGGCATGACAACATGCGTCCTTCCAGAGCCAGATATATTTGTAATGCATACGAGATCCGCGTTGCTAATGGCGGACCCTACGGTGGAGGCGGACAAGGACTATGCATTGCAAAAGTGTCTGGGTGTGGAAGAATGCAAGTTTGTCATGCTTGTCTGGCATGATTCCGAAATCTGTGATGCATAAGCGGGAAAGCGCCTCTTGCCTGTCATGCAAAGACGCAGTTTGTCATGCGGAAAACAAAACAAGTGGCAGCCGAAAAACTTGTCATGCTTGGCTGCGTTGCACTGTGCCCACGATCCACAGATTTGCATCACAAGTTTCCACGACCCCGAGACACATTTGCACTGCACATGGACGTGTCGATGGCGGTATCTGAGGACGTGAGCATGATGCTCGACGAGAGCCCGCTCGGAGTGCCGATACGTGGCGCAGCGGATGTCGAAAATATGACGCGCTCCACCACCGCGACGAGAAACACTAGAGCTGGTGGCGTGGATATTGCGGCAAAAAACTGTTTCACTGTGAACTTGTCATGCAGAAAATGAAAGAACGCTATAGTGTTTGTGTTGCTGCACCTGCAAGACATTAGATTTCCAACCGTCTTTTCCCTTGGGAAGTGCCCATGGCAAATTTTCTGTGTCACGTGTAACGAACTTGTGATGCAGATCCTCGTGCAAAATCATCACAGTGAAACAGTTTTTTCGTGGTATAGTGGACAACATCAACCTGATCGAACCGGGCGTGACCACTAATCGCGCGAATGCCCATGCATCAACCCGGCCCGGAAACTCGACGACCTCGTCACTGGCAGCAAGGACAAGGCCAGGAACTGTCAATAGCGGTGCGTATCCTACAGAAAAGTTTTTGCACTAGACGACCCATCTATTTACCAGAAAAAGAAGTAGAGGCGTGTCATGCTAAATGAATGTCACGGATGATCGCGGTTCAGCAATTAGAGACGAGGTAGGGAAGAAGCTTGTCATGCTGAACAGCATGAGAGAGGATCTTGTTTGTGACGCCGACGAGCACAAAAACACAAATTCACTTTTCTTCTGGTACGGGTGTGCTTTTCCGCTCGACACTACGACACGGCCATCCCCATCCGGAGGCTATTGTGGTGAAAAGGGTCCTTCTCGTCGCGTATTTCTTTGTAGACGCAAGTTCTTTGTTCCCACTTATCTATACACAAAACGTAAGTGCCTCTTCTTTGTATAGAGACGTCAGGACGTCGATTTTCGCCACAATACAAAACTGACCTCGTCGACCACGACTACCCGGGTTTCATCGAGTGCTAACGTCCGACCACCACGTCCTGTTGTTATGCAAGTGAAAATGGATCAGTAAAGAGCCTCCAGGTTTCTGATGCAATTGATACAAATTGCTTAGCAAAATCTTTGAACGAAAATGTGATGCGCGCCGGTTCTTGATATGCTGTACTGCTGACGAATCTGACGGGCGTATCACCCCTCTCAGAATCGTGACCTAGGCTCTTTCCGATATACTTTCTCCACTTTCCATAACCGCACGTACTTCTACCGGAGCAACGGGAGCTGCGCAGGTACTCTTTTCTCAAATTGGTGTAATGCCTTTAGGCCATTTCATGGCAAAGTCAGTTTCTCGGTCTAATGCACCATAGTACTCATGAAAAAAAAAGCAACAACACAATTTCCAGAGCCGCGCCTCTCCTGCAGTAGGCCAAGGACATCGTGATGCCGCGGCACGGCAATTATCCGGACCGGTGACTAGTACTGCAAACCGAGTGCGATCTGACCCAGCCACTCTCAGAACGGGTGCAAAGCGCCCTGTGGATGCCACCATGGTAGTCAGTGTAAAAACGCCCCCACTCCATTAAATACAGGACCAGAGAGGTCACTTTTTGCATCACAAAGCTGGGTGAAAATTTTGACGGCCTTTCAAGAAGAGTCTCGTGCAGTGCGGAATTTTTAGAAAGTGTAGTTTTGTGATGCAAAATGTGGCTTCTACTGGTCTTCGCTGTAGCCGAGATTCAGGAGAAGGCGCAGTTTGCATCACAAGTGGACACTTTTGAAAATGCCCGCACTGCACGAGACGCTTCTTGAAACAGCATCAAAATTTTCCCCGGCTACAGCAAAGACGAAGACCTGAGAGGTCACTTTTTGCATCACAAAGCTGCGCGGAAATTTTGATGCTGTTTCAAGAAGCTATCCGTGCAGTGCGGAATTTTTAGAAAGTGTAGTTTTGTGATGCAAAATGTGGCTTCTACTGGTCTTCGCTGTAGCCGAGGTTCAGGAGAAGCCGCAGTTTGCATCACAAATGGACACTTTTGAAAATGCCCGCACTGCACGAGACGCTTCTTGAAACAGCATCAAAATTTTCCCCGGCTACAGCAAAGACGAAGACCTGAGAGGTCACTTTTTGCATCACAAAGCTGGGCGGAAATTTTGATGCTGTTTCAAGAAGCTATCCGTGCAGTGCGGAATTTTTAGAAAGTGTAGTTTTGTGATGCAAAATGTGGCTTCTACTGGTCTTCGCTGTAGCCGAGGTTCAGGAGAAGCCGCAGTTTGCATCACAAATGGACACTTTTGAAAATGCCCGCACTGCACGAGACGCTTCTTGAAACAGCATCAAAATTTTCCCCGGCTACAGCAAAGACGAAGACCTGAGAGGTCACTTTTT